ATTAAAGTTTTATCATGAGATTGAAGAATTCAGTCACATACTTCTCTCACTATTTGCACCACATTTCCACTGAAATCTTGAATCCCTCAGAATCATCCATGAGGGTTGCAATCAGCTTTTTCAAAATTCCTGTTAATATGGGTATCTTGACCTCTTCCCGTGAATCACAAATGTTCCTAAATGGCATTTAGAATAGTGAATTACTTCCAGAAGCTTTTCAATTTACTTTGCCCAGATCCATCAAAGGAATCACTATCTAAGGCAGTTACAGCATTATGAAATGTATTTAAGTAGTAAGACTTGGAAGTTGAAATTGCTCCTTGATCCATGGGCTGCAGAATGGATGTTGTGTTAGCAGGCATGAAAACAACATTAATCTCATTGTACATCACCGTCAGAGCTCTGGGGTGACCAATGAGCAGTCATATTTTGAGGAAATTAGGCGCGTTTAGGGTGGTATGGCCATAGACTGAGCAGTCATATTTTGAAAGGAATCTTTTTCTGAGCAGTAAATCTCAGCAGTGGACTTAAAATATTCAATAAATCATGATATAAACAGATGTGCTGTCATCCAGGCTTTGTTGTTCCATTTATAGAGCAGGGGCAGAGTAGATTTAGCATAATTCTTAAGGGCCCTAGGATTTTCAGAATGGTAAATGAGCATTGGCTTCGACTTAATGTCACCAGCTGCATTAGCACCTAACAAGAGAGACAGCATGTCCTTTAAAGCTTCGGAGCTAGGCATTAACTTATCTTCAGCTGTGAAAACCTCTGTATGATGTCTTCTTCCAACTGAAGGTTGTTCCATCTGCATTGAAAAGTCTGTTACTTAGTATAGCCATCTTCATTCATGATCTTAGCTTAATTTTCTGGATAACTTGCTGCAGCTTCTACCTCAGCACTTAATGCTTCACCTTGCACTTGGATGTTACGGAGATAGCTTCTTTGCTTAAACTTCACGAACCAACCTCTGCTAGCTTCAGACTTTTCTTCTGCAGTTTCCTCACTTGTCTCAGCCCTCATGGAATTGAAAAGAGGTCTTGCCCTGGATTAGGTTTTGCCTTGAGAAAATGTTCTGTTCTATCCAGATCGCTAAAACTTTCTCCATATCAGCAGACAGCCTGTTTCACTTTTCTTATCTTTGTGTGTTCACTTTTAATTTTCCTCGAGAACTTTTCCTTTGCATTCACAACTTGGCTATTTGGCAGAAGGGGCCTAGCTTTCAGCCTGTGTGGGCTTTCAACATGCCTTCCTCACTAAGCCTAATCATTTCTAGCTTTTGATTTAAAGTACAACTCTTCCATTCACTTGAACATTAGAGACCCCAGCAAGGTTATTAGTTGGCCTAATTTCGGTATTGTTGTGTCTCGGGGAATAAAGAGGCCCAAGGAGAGAGAGAGACAGACAGGGGAACAGCCAGTTGTGGAGCAGTCAGAACACCAACATTTATTAAGTATGCCATCTTAAATGAGCATGGTTCGTGGTGTCCCCCCAAATTTATAATAGTGACATCAAAGATCACTAATGGTCACAGATCACCATAACAAGTATAGTAATAATGAACAACTTTGAAATATTGGGAGAATTACCAAAATGTGACAGAGACATTGGAAAAATGATACTAATAGACCTGCTCGTTGCCGGATTGCCACAAACTATCAACCTGTTAAAAAAAAATGCAGTAGTTTTGAAACAGAATAAAGCAAGGTATGCCTATATTCACGGAGTTGTGTAGCCATCACCACAGTCAATTGTAGAGCATTTTCATCACCATGAAAAGAAACCCCATGCCTATTAGAGGTCACTCCCTATTCCCTCCAAGCCCTCCCTCTCAATGCCAGTCAACTACATTCCTTCCATATAGATTTTTTTGGACATTTCACATAAACTCGTACACCGTATGGTCTTTTATGATTGGTGTCTTTCACTTAGCATTCTCACAGTTCATCCATGTAGCATGCATTCATTAGTACTTGCTTTTTATTGCCAAATAATATTCTGTTGTATTGGGTATACCACAATTTATTTATCCATTCATCTGTTGATGGACATTTCGGTTGTTTCCACTCTTTGGCTATTATAAATAATGCTGATGTGAACATTTGTGTACAAGTTTTTATGTGAACGTATGTTTTCATTACTCGTGAGTGGACTTACTGGGCTATAGCACTCTGTTTACCTTTTGAGGAATTGTCAAACTGTTTTCAAAGCAGCTGTACCATTTTATATTCCCACCAGTAATGTGTGAGAGTTCTGCTTTCTCCACATCTTCATTAACATTTGTCATTGTCTTTTTGATTATAGTCATCATAGTGACTATGAAGTGTCATCTCATTGTGGTTTTGGTTGGCATTTCCCTGATGGCTTTTCATGTGCTTATTGTCCATTTTTATATCTTTGGAGAAATGTCTTTTCAGAACCTTTGTCCCATTTTTAAATTAGACTTTTTTGTTTTCATCATTGAGTTGTAAGTTCTTTATATGTTCTGGATACAAGTCCCTCATTAGATATATGATTTGTACATATTTTCTCCTATTCTCTGGGTTGTCTTTTCACTTTCTTGATGGTATCCTTTGAAGCAGAAAAGTTTTTAATGTTAATGAAGTTCAGCATATACTTACTGTCTTGTTGCTTGTGCCTAAAAAGGCTTTTCCTAACCCTAAGTAAGTCATGAATATTTACTCCTCTTTCTTTTTCTAGGAGTTTTATAGTTATAACACTGTTTAGGTGTGTAATCCATTCTGAATTAGTTTTTGTATTCGGTATAAGGAAGGGGTCCAACTTTATTCTTCTGCATGTGAATATCCAACTGTCTTAGAACCATTTGTTAAAAAGATTATCTTTCCCCATTAAATTGTCTTGACACCCTGTCAAAAATAAATTGTGAGATTTCTGGATGTTCAATTCTATTCTGATCTATGTGTCTATCCTTCATTATGATCACTCTTAAAAATCATTTATAACCTTTTAATCATTGCTTTCCAACCAGATTTCAGCTTAAATAGAGACCTGGCACCTGTGGCTGTATACAGTTATAATTCTTCTTCATGTCAGCCTCCCCCACAAGATAGTAAAATCCCTCAAGACATGAATAAGAATTTATTTACACAGTATTCCCCACAGCTAGAATAATTCCTGGCCCATAGTAGGTCTTCAGTAAATATATTTTCTAAAAGAATGAAAAAGTATTTGAGAATCTTTCTGAATTAAAATAAAAATACAAATTCCTGAGCTAAACCCAGGTCAGAATTTCTCATGGTAGCTCTGCATATATGTCTTTTAAAAGTTCCCCATATGATTATGATAAATAACCTTAGCCAGTAGCAACTTTTTCTAGACTTCATTTTATGTGAATATTCAGATACGAATACACATAATTATATTTTATACTATTTATGTAAAATATCTTCTATAGTTTTATAACTTGCTTTGATTTACCAGTGTGTAAGTCATTAGTCCATTTAAGATAGTTCTGTTGTTACTTAGTGACTACATATTCTATTAGGTAGTTTACTTACTGATTTTTTTAGAGAGGGAGTCGGGGAGGAACAGAGGGAGAGGGTTATAACTTTTTTTTTTTAAGATTTTATTTACTTTTTGAGAGAGAAGGAAAGAGAGAGAAGGAGCCAGGGGGAGGGGCAGAGGGAGAGGAAGAATCAGACTCCCCACTGAGCAGGGAGCCCAACGTAGGGCTCGATCCCAGGACCCTGAGATCATGACCTGAGCCGAACGCAGACGCTTAACCAACTGAGCCACCCAGGCGCCTGGGAAAGAGAGAATCTTAAGCAGGTTCCACACCCAGTGCAGAGCTCAAAGTGGGGCTTGATCTCAGAACCCTGAGATCATGACCTGAGCCCAAATCAAGAGTCAGATGCTGAATGGACTGAGCCATGCAGGCAACCCTACAGTAGGTTATTTAAACGTAATAGTTATTAAGTAGTATATTTGAAATTAAGTTACTTACAATTCTGTACACTATTTAGATCTAGGGAATGAAAGCCAGAAATAATAAATTAGGCAGTAATAATAATGAATTAAAGTTGAGTGATTTAGGGGCATCTGGGTGGCCTAGTCAGTTAAGTGTCTGCCTTCAGCTCAGGTCATGATCCCAGGGTCCTGGGATTGAGCTCTCAGTCGGGCTCCCTGCTCAGCAGGGGTGTCTGCACTCCCTCTTCCTCTTCTCATGTGCTCTCTGTATTGCTCACTCTCTCTCTCTCAAATAAATAAAATCTTTTTTTAAAAAAGTTGAATGATTTAATGTACAAGTGCTCAAACATTTTCAGTGGTACAACTGAGTGTACTGGGGGCACAAATTAACCATATCAGTAACATTTAGTGATTTTTTTTTTTTTTAAAGCCATTTGACGTGTAAGAGCAGCATCTTTCATACCCATTCTGATGGTCAGAAATGCAGGTCATAATATAATCTATAAATCTGTAGATCTAGTTTTATAAAATATCTATGGATATTATAACACTTTTTACAGTGTGAGCAAGTTCATCTGTTACTGTAAAGTTCTGTATTTCAGAATTGTTACAGTCTACTATTTTTCCCAAATTAAACTTTAATCAATGTAACCAGTCTTATCTATCTGATCATTTTACCATAGTGGTTATTAAGGTACACAGTTTTATAACTCATTTCAGTGTGAGGTAGAGTTCTTTCTGGGAAAATACCTACAAGCACCAAAAACAAACAAAACAAATGCAGAAAAGGAAGAAATTTATTTGATTATAAGTTGGTTAGTGAGCTAATGAGTGACTTTTTTATGGAGGAGTTATAATAACTTTTTTCTTATGTTTGTTCTAGGTAAGTATCTAGAAGAACCATTTCTACAGATCATTTGAGATTGAACCTAATACAGTTCTCTGCACAAGCAGATGCTTAATCTTGATGATTGAAGTTGAACTTTCATGTATTTTGTTATAAAATTTTATTTCTTCATGTTGGCAATAGCAATTCTTAACTTTTTTTTTTTTTTTTTTTTTAATGGTTGTAGATGTGAGTATGCAGTGCTCACAGGATATACTTCGAATGCTCCTCTCTCTTCAGCCAGTTCTTCAGGATGCTATTCAGAAAAAAAGAACAGTAAGGCCTTGGGGAGTTCAAGGTCCTCTCACTTGGCAACAATTTCATAAAATGGCTGGCCGAGGCTCTTATGGTAAGTAATTTATAGTAATGTGTATTGACTGATTTTATATCAGCCCTTTATTTTTGTGCCCAACTTGGAATAAGCACATTTGTCTTCCTTAAATATTTTTGTGGCATATGCTTGACTTAAGGCCAGGGTGGTCAATCTTAGCCTTCATTACTTTGAGCATTTCCAACATTTAATTTACTGGATTCTCCAGCCCCTCTTCAGAAAGAACAGCTTCCCTTAGATCTATTTTTACAGATTAGACTCACCAGTAAGATTTTATATGAAGAAAGAATCGTACTGCCAAGATTTTTTAAATAAATGAACACTACTTTCATTGTAAATTATCACTTTACAAAGTTGAATGAAGAATGGGGCGAAAAGAAGAGGATACTACTAGTGATGAAAGACCCCAAGTTCTTCATTTTTTTTTTTTTTTTAAAGATTTTATTTATTTATTTGACAGAGAGAGAGAGCACAAGTAGGCAGAACAGCAGGGAGAGGGAGAGGAAGAAGCATGCTCTCTGCTGAGCAGGGAGCCTGACGTGGGGCTCGATCCCAGGACCCTGGGATCATGACCTGAGCCGAAGGCAGCCGCTTAACCGACTGAGCCACCCAGGAGCCCCACAAGTTCTTCATTTAAAAAAAAACAAAACAAAACAGAAATTTGCTGGTTGTAAGAGTAGCAAATGAATACTCTAAATATGGTACACAGTACAGGGGTGCCCGGCTGGCTCAGTCGGTGGAACATGTGGCTCTTGATCTCAGGTTTGTGAGTTCGAGCTCCACATCAGGTGTAGAGATTACTTAAATATGAAATCTTTAAAATATATGTATGGGGCGCCTGGGTGGCTCAGTTGGTTAAGTGACTGCGTTCGGCTAAGGTCATGAACCTGGAGTCCTGGGATCGAGTCCCGCATCGGGCTCCCTGCTCGGCAGGGAGTCTGCTTCTCCCTCTGACCCTAACCCCTCTCATGTGCTCTCTCATTCTCTCTCTCTCAAATAAATAAAATCTTTAAAAAATAAAATAATAAAATGTATGTATGGTACACAGTAGATTTATGGTCATCTGTCAAGGCAAAGAACATTCAAAATACTTGATGAACTATCTGTTGAAGATTGTCTCTGAAAGGTGGGAGCTTTTAAAATATATTTGGAGGGCGCCTGGGTGGCTCAGTCAGTTAAGCATCTGCCTTCAGCTCTGGTCATGATTCTAGGGTCCTGGGATCAAGTCCCGCATCGGGCTCCCTGCTCCTTGGGAGCCTGCTTCTCCCTCTGCCTCTCTCTCTCTCTCTCTGTCTGTCTCTCATGAATAAATAAATAAAATCTTTAAAAAAGAAAAGAAAAAAGAAAAATGCAGGTTAATTATATTTTTACATAATAGTGTACACACACCCACACACACACACACTGTTCTGCACCTTACCAATACACAGAGCTGTCTGTCTTTATTTTTAATGGGCATGTATTTCATTGTTCTTTACATATGATAATACTTTACCAATCCACTGTTTATGGACATACATATTGTTTCTCTCCTTGTCATCACAACTGTTTTTCTATAATGCACACATCTCTGGCTTAAAGGATGTGTGTTTTGTTGTTGTTGCCAAATTACTCTCTGTGTATCAATTTAAACTCCCACCAGCAAAATGCCTGTTTCTGCAAACCCTTGCTGAAGTAGATGGGTGAAAATGGTTGTTTTATTATAGCTTGAGAAATGGCATAGCACAGACTGTAAGAGTAGATTTCCTGGCCTCTAATCCCATGTCTACCACTTCTTGTGTGATTGCGGACAAGTTGCTTAACTTCTTCATTCCTGCTTTCTCATCTCTAAAATGAGGTTAATATTAGTATCTGCCTTATATGGTTTTGTGAGGATTAAATGAGTTAATACGTGTAAAGTTAGTATGTGTAAAGATCCTTGAACAGTACGTAGCACATAGTGTTACAGTTTTTCACCAATAATTATTTTAAATTGCTTTCTCTTAATGAGATTGAGCAGCTTTTTATGTATAAGATAGTTCCTTTTCTGTAAACTTAGTTCATACACTTTACCCATTTTTCTGTTAGGTTGTTGATCATTTTCTTAGGGATTTATAAGTCCCCTTTATATGGTAAGGAATTTAACCTTTTGTCATCTGCATTACAAATCTTTTTTCCAATTTGTTGTTAATCATTTGGCTTTTTTGTAATGTTTTTTATGCCAAATTTTAAAATTTATATAGTCAGATTGATCAGCTTTTAAATGGACAGGTTTTATGTTAATGCTTAGAAAGGCTTTCCCCAATCCAAATTTATAAAAAATAAAATAAAACTCCCCTCCCATGTTTTCTTTTGTACTTTTAAGTTTTTTCATTTGAATTTTTTTAACAATTAAAACAATTAATTTTAAGGATTAAATAACAAACAAATTAAATTAGTGTAAGTCATGTTTCCTAAAGACCATTTAGCAAATTCCTAACTGGAAAAGTCTCAATCATTGATTGGCTTTAGATATTTTTATCTTTAATCAAATATTTTTGCTAATGACTTCAGTAACTTTGACATTTAAATGAAAGGAAGACATGTAACTGCTTTATTTTTAATATTAAAATATGTTTTTTCCTGTTTAGGAACTGATGAATCCCCAGAACCACTGCCAATCCCTACATTTTTGTTGGGTTATGATTATGATTTTCTGGTGCTTTCTCCATTTGCGCTCCCTTATTGGGAGAGACTTATGCTGGAACCCTATGGATCTCAAAGAGATATAGCCTATGTTGTATTATGTCCAGAAAATGAAGCCTTGTTAAATGGAGCCAAAAGCTTTTTTAGAGACCTCACTGCGATATATGAGGTAGGTGTTTAAAAAGAGGTAGCATTCGGGGGTGGGGGGGGGAGTCAGCTTCTCCCTCTCCCTCTGCTCCTCTGCCTGACTCTTGCATGGGTGCTTGCTCTCTCATGCTCTGTCTCTCTTAAATAAATAAAGATCTTTAAAAAAATAAAAAGAGGTGGCATTTTAAAACTATAATTTGTATATTTATATATGAAATATACTGGGCAATTCAGTTGATTGGGACAGAGTAATAATGATGTGAAACTAGTTGTATAGTTCTCACGCTAGCCAGTTATGTTCTTTACAGCATTTGACCTGGACTGTCTGTTTGATGTGTGTGCCATGGGTCACGGTGAAATCACTGTATTGGGGAAAAACCATTGAGGACATATGTATGCCATTTAAGATCATCTTTTTTTTTTAAATAAAGGGTTGCATTATTAAATAGCCAGGAAAAAAATTACATTTATAAAAATTCTAGTCCTGATTCTCTAGACCTCAGGTGCTGACACTAGGCCTCACTTTCATAAAGTAAAGTTGTGTTAGATTTCTCTATGATCTATATCATTTCTGAAATTCTTGAGTGATCTTTTAAATTCTTAACTGATCTTATAATTCTCATGTTGTGTCCATCACTGAGTGCAGTGATTACAAATTTTAAGTGCTACAGGACATAAAGTCTTAACTTCATTTTACTTTCCTTTCCCCATAAATGCTTAGAAATCCAATCTTTAAAATTTAATTTCTTCTACAGTCTGAGTTGTTAGTTTGTGCTTACTTAGCTCCTTTTAAATGTTCCACTTAATTACAAGGTATCTGTCCTGTAGATTTGGGAAGTAAATATTTCCCAAGGAGTGTTACTTGGAACACTAGTTCTGCAAAATCTTTCCAGAAAAAAGTTCCATAATTAAACAGGTTTGGGGAAACATTATATATTATTTTACTTTTTAAGAGATTCACTATTCATATTAGATTATTAAAGCTTTTGAAAGTTGGGTTTTTTTTGTTTTTGTTTTTGTTTTTAAGCTTTTTAAAGTCTCAACAGTAAAGAAATCCTCTGGGGGTGCCTAGCTGGCTCATTTGGTGGAAGTGTGACTCTTGAACTCTTGATCTCAGGGTTGTAAAGTCAAGCCCCACACTGGGTGTGGAGCCTACTTAAAAAAAAAAAAAAAAAGAAATCCTCTAGATTTTCTTAATTTAGTATTACAAACTTACTTGATACTGGACTTCTTGTAACAAACATCAGCAGCCCACAGAATTGGAGGGAAAGGTGACAAATACATGGTATATTTATATACCAATTTTTATTTTTATTTGACTTGGCTATATGTGCATTTTTATGCTCACTTATATCTGTATTCTACAAGTTTTCATTATTCAAACCACATGGTTCTTGTGCCGTTATTATCTAGGTGTTTTATTTCATTGGAGATAGTTTAATTTAAAAAAAAATGTAATGGATTTCTAATGTAAAAAAGAAAAAGATGTACTATTTCACTTGATATTTTTATCCCAAATGTTAATTAAATGCTTGGGGCACCTGGCTGGCTCAGTTGGTAGAGCATGGAGCTCTTGATCTCGGGGTTGTGAGTTCGAGTCCTGTGTTGGGTGTAGAGATTACTTAGAAATATATCTTTTAAAAAATAAATAACTTTAATGCTTTATTTTATAGTGTGTACTCATACTATAATAAATTCACTAATTCTGCTTTTTGTATGTATATCTGTAGTCCTGTCGATTAGGTCAGCATAGACCTATTTCTCGACTATTGACGGATGGGATCATGAGAGTTGGATCTACTGCATCAAAGAAACTATCAGAAAAGTTGGTAGCAGAATGGTTTTCTCAGGCAGCTGATGGTAACAATGAAGCATTTTCTAAACTCAAACTTTATGCACAAGTCTGCAGATATGATCTAGGTATTAAATTTGTATTTATTTTATAAAACCAACGGTTGCAAAGTATGGCCCAGTGTATCTGCTGTTTTTGCAAATAAAATTTTATTGGAACCCAGCTCTGCTCATCTATTTACATATTGTCTGTGGCTGCTTTTGTGCTACAAGATCTGAGCTGAATAGTTGAGACAGACTGTGTGACCCCCAAAACCCAAAATATTTACTGTCTGACCCTTTACAGAAAAAGTTTGCTGATCCCTAAAATAGGGATCCTATCAGGTAAGAAGAAATTGTGGGTATAAACAATTTCCTTTGCTTCTGTAGGATCTGATGAATTTGTGTTTTTATTTATGCTTATTAACATTAAGATTCTTGATTTGTTAATGGTTTAGAGATAAAATAACTTGTAGTTACCTCTACAACACCAAGAAAACAGTTCTTTGTTGCAACTAAGAAAATGATAACTATTTAAGACTTGCTTTTAACACTCTTGAGTTAACATTGGATTAAATATCAATGGACTTTAGACTTAATCTAAGGAAACACAACCAAAATATTGACCCTCATTAGGCATCTCTATAATATGAACCCCATGGTAACATTTTTTATTTTATATCTAGTTAGCTTTCAGTTTAGTCAGTGTTTATTCAACTTGTGATTTAGGAACCTTTGAATGGTTTGATGAAAATTTGCTCAATATATATCGTTTTCATTCAATTAATTATAACTAGTAAATATAATTTTGTTATACTTTCATGGGAACCATTTCTTTATTTTGTATGAAGTTCCATTTAAAATTTGTTTCTTCAGTTTCTGGGTAAAAGAAAAAGCTTTATCTCCTCCATTGTTTGCAGCTAAGGGAGGGTGATTACCAAAAAGCATCAACTAGATTATTATTCACATAGTAGAATAAAAAAAGAACCAATCAGTGAAGTAAAGAATTAAATATCCTGCCTGTTTTTATTACCTTTAGGTCCTTATCTTGCTTCCCAGCCTTTGGACAGCTCTCTACTTTCCCAGCCAAATTTAGTTGCCCCTACAAGTCAATCTTTGATTACTCCACCTCAGATGACAAGTACTGGAAACGCTAATACTCCATCTGCCACCCTAGCATCTGCAGCAAGCAGCACTATGACAATGACTTCAGGTGTTACCATGTCTTCTTCAGTTGCCACAGCTAATTCAACTTTGACCACAACTGCAACTTCATCTTCATCATCCTCCAACTTGAACAGTGGAGTATCATCAAATAAACTGCCCTCATTTCCACCCTTTGGCAGTATGAACAGTAATGCCACAGGATCCATGTCTACACAAGCAAGTACAGTTCAGAATGGCCAGCTAGGAGGGCAGCAGTCATCAGCTCTACCAACAGCAGGGATTTCTGGAGAGTCATCTTCACTTCCCACTCAGCCTCATCCTGATGTGTCTGAAAGGTACCTTTACTATTCTTTGCAGAAATGTAAATACATTATGCTTCTTTCTGTCTAAGATAGTCCTTGTGAATGAACATGGAAAGTTTTTTGATCTTATCCTTGAAATTTTAGTTTTTGTAATGTTGATTATTTTATCTCTAAAATTATAATGCACACTCTTCATAAAGTCTTTAGCATAGAATCGTAAAATCTCATCATGGGAATTAAGACCTTAAAACCATTTAGTTCAACTATCCTGTGATGTTCGAATCTCTTCTGTGACATAACTGTTAAGTAGATTAGCCTTTGCAAATCACTATAATGATTTAGAAGTCACTACTTGAACCAGTTTGTTCAGAGCTTATTAAGAGCCATACAGAGATTTGGATCTCAGCTCTGCCATTTATTGGCTATGTGACTTTAGGAAAGTTGTCTGACTTCTCTGAGCATGTTATTTGTAAAACGGGAGCAGTAGGATATAGTGTACATTAAGTGCTTTATACAGTGCTTCCAAACACGTGAGTTATTTATGACAGCAATGATAATTGCAGTTCTCTATTCCTTTTATGATGAAGGTATTGAGTGAGCTTCCCTTTTGACTACAGGTTAGGTTAACATGAGCTTAGTAATATCTTTCAGTTACCCAGATGCACTTCGCTCAAAGTTAAACTTATTTATGTGAGTAAAAACAAACTATTAATTTACCCAGATTGATGCATTCATCTTGAACATCTAAATAGATTTGGAGTTTTAAAAAAATCATATCACCATCAAAGAATGAAGCTTGTGCACTATTAAAGTTAGGAAGTGTGAAATGAATATGTATAGGCTATTAATGTAGTAGAACATTGACTAAGTCTGAAAACCTGGTTTCTTTCTGGTCTGGCTCTGCTTTGTCATCTTTAGCAGCTCAGTTAACTATCTTTGTCTCAGTTTTAGCACTTAAGCATTAAGCTCTCTAGTGTTTTTGGATATTCTGTGGTTTTAAAAATTCTATTCCCTTTTTTAATGCAAGCCCTCTTAACGTAAGGGTATTTGTATACCATGAAATTGTGTGCACAGTGTTTACTATTCTATTTGGAGAGAAAGAGATGTCCCTTAATTTTTAGAGAAGCTCTCCGACACCCCCCACCAGAAGAAGGGGAGAGGTTACTAAGAACCTGCTTTTTGATATTACCTCAAAAAGTATGGTACAACTTTTTTCCTAACTGTATATTTCTACCTTAAATTTTAGCACGATGGATCGGGATAAAGTGGGTATCCCCACAGATGGTGATTCACATGCAATCACTTATCCACCTGCAATTGTTGTTTATATAATTGATCCTTTTACTTATGAAAATAAAGAGGAGAGCACTAATTCTTCTAATGTATGGACTTTGGGGCTACTTCGATGCTTTCTGGAAATGGTCCAGACTCTTCCTCCTCATATTAAGAGTACTGTTTCTGTACAGGTAAGAATAATTTTTGCAAGTTAAACAGTTTGATGTAGACAGAAGTTAAAGCCAAGTTCTATTATATTTTACTTTAAGTGATATTATAATAGAATCCTTAGGGATTTTATAAAAGATAAACTTTACAATCATACCACAATAATAATGGAGAATAAAAAGGTTGCATTTAAGTACATTAAATATTTCTCTTGTGTTATTTTTATAAGCCAGTTTTTAAATTCATAAGCTTAAATAGAAGACCAGAGCATGGATCTATATAAACTAGAGTTCTAAATAAGATAGATTGCAAGTAAAAGTAGAAATTAATGATATTGGGGGTGCCGGGGTGGCTCAGTATGTTAAGCTTCTGACTTTTGATCTTATTAGCTCATGTCTTGATCTCAGGGTCATGAGTTCAAGCCCTACATTGAGCTCCACACTGGGCATGGAGCCTACATTTTAAAGGGGTGGGCTGCTGGGTAGCTTAGTTGGTTAAGTGTCTTACTGTTGATTTTGGCTCAGGTTATGATCTCAGGGTCCTGGAATTGAGCTCCTTGTCAGACTCCATGCTCAGCGGGAAATCTGCTTGAGGATTCTCTCTCCCTCTCCTTCTGCCTCCCCCTCCCCCCAACTCGCACACTTAATCTCTCACTCTCTCAAAATAAATAACTCTTTAAAAAAATAAAAAATTAAAGAAATTAGTGATATTAACTTGTTTGCAGAGATTGAATTATTTCTTTATAGACTATAGTAGGACTAATCAGTGTCAGTATTGATTAACTGCTGTGTAGAAATTTTAAAAGGTTTTTACATAACCTGTTAGTAAAACTGATTATTAAAAACCTGTATAATAAAATATAATTCTTTAGAACATAGTTTTAATTAGGTTTTGTTTAAATTCTCTAGTAAATGTTTTTAGAGTTTCAGACCCATGGTTCTTTTTATTTTTAGTTTTGGAAGTTTAACCTTTGTAATATTTGCCTATAATTCTTAGATTGTTCCTTGTCAGTACCTGTTGCAACCTGTGAAACACGAAGATAGACAAATCTATACCCAGCATTTAAAATCCCTGGCTTTTTCGGCCTTTACCCAGTGTCGGAGACCACTTCCAACATCAACCAATGTGAAAACATTGACTGGCTTTGGTCCAGGCTTAGCCATGGAAACTGCTCTTAAAAGTCCTGATGTAAGTATGTTTTCCATGACCAAAGTTATTGAATAACTGTACATTTTATGATTTTATACAAAACTAAGTGCAGTTCTTTGTTTAGTTCTCATTTTCTGATTATCTTATAATTGGGTATTGATAATATATCACATTTTCAATAAAAGATTTTTCTATAATTGTCTAGTACCATAGTACCTTTATTTTTTATTTTACAGAGACCAGAGTGTATTCGACTTTATACACCACCTTTTATTCTGGCTCCAGTGAAGGATAAACAGACAGAGCTAGGAGAAACATTTGGAGAAGCTGGACAGAAATATAATGTTCTTTTCGTGGGCTACTGTTTATCACATGATCAAAGATGGATTCTTGCATCTTGCACAGATCTATATGGAGAACTTTTAGAGACTTGTATCATTAACATCGATGTCCCAAATAGGTACCTCTCTTTCCTTAAGTGTATCATTATATCATCCATTTTAAAAAATTCTCTCTCACACACACAAATACACATACTGTTTCATTTTTAATGAGTAGAAAACTGTTTGGAAGGTCATGGACATTAAGTTTTGGGATTGTGCGTGCTTTTCACTTTTTTGGGTAGTGAATATATTGTATAATTAGAAATAATTTTGAGTGATCTTTGTTATACAGACAAAAGAGATTAAAGTCCCTAAATTCTATGTAATAAAGCTTGAGGCAATGATTTCAGCCTAAGAAATTTTAAAGAATGGAACGAGAGAGCCCTCTGCAATTAAAAAAGAGCATCCTATAGCATTTACTTCTCTCAGGTACCATCTAAAATATAGTCCCTAATTAACTGAGTTAACTTCCTTTACTAAAATTGTTGACTGAAAATTTTCCTTTTAAGTGTTGGAATGTCTTCTGAAAATGGTGGCCTTATTTTTAGAATTCTTCTTGGTAGTAATTAGATATCATGCTCAGTTATTTATCAAGGCTGTAACTAATAGATCACAACAGGAGAGCCTCATATTAAGTTATAACCTAATAGACATTTCTAGTAACATGTTTCAAGGCTAGTGAACATGGTATAAGAGAACCTGAAAGGCAGGTCGATGAAGTAATGTTCAATTTTGAGGTTTGGTTGTATCCTTTATTTTTTTTTATTATATAAAGATCAGTTTCTTTAAGCTCAGAAATTGATTATGTGCAGAAATGTTTAATGAATATTAGGTTATAGTGGTGCTGAAGAAGTGGAATATAGAAACATTAATTTTATATTATTGGTTATAAAGATTTATTGACCATTTTTTATAATCCTTAGAGAAATACTTCATACCTTATTTCCTTGACACAATTTCGATTTTTTTAAATGGTCATTAAGTGAGTTTTGGGAATAGTATGCTTATCTGTGAAGGATGAGAAAGAGTAGAGAAAGAATAATACCACCTTTCCAATACAAAGATAGTATTGCCATTTTACTGAAAGTAGAAGTGAGATAATGGTAAAAAGGTCCAACTCCAGAGTCATGGTGACGGGGGTTCAAATCCCAACTCTCCTACGTACTGGTTATATGATCTTGAGAAAATTACTTTAGCTAGCTGAGCTTCCACTGGGAGAATACTGGGAGAATAAATAAAATAAATAAATAAAACCGGGAGAATAATTTTATCTCCCTCCTAGGGTTTGTTAGGCTGAAATGAGGTATCACATGTAAATTGACTGGGCATAATGCTTGCTATGTATTAAGTGCTCAGTAAATCATAGCTGCCATGGCTCAGCCACAGAGTGCTTATGTCATGTACTTGCCTAATAAAGGACATGCATGCAGAAAACACAACAGTGTTGTTTGGTCTGAGAAGTGTAGTCTTTTGTTTAATATTCTTCAACTTAAAGTATAGAGCAGGGGTTGGCACACCACAGCCCGTGCGCCAAATCTGGCTACATGCATTTGTTTAAGTATTATCTATGGCTGCTTTCATGCTGTAGCAGCAGAGTTATTATTGCAGCAGAATCTTGATGGCCTGCAAAGCTTAATATATTGGCCCTTTAAAGAAAAAGTTTGCCAATCTCTGGTGTAGAACAGTGTTTCTGATGAATTTTGGTGGTTCATGGACAATTTTTCTTTTAAGTTAAGAATCTGTTTTAATGTGTATTATGAAAAACAAAGTAGCATGCTAAACACTGTGGTTTTATGTATATTCTTGCTTATGACTTACATAAAAAGTGTCAGGCATTAAAATTGGACTAGTTTTTCACAAATTTAAGCTCTTTTAAAATGTTCTCATATGATTTTTAGAAATATTTAATTCTCTCTTTATTCTGTACAACAGGGCTCGTCGGAAAAAAGGATCTGCTAGAAGATTTGGTCTACAGAAACTTTGGGAGTGGTGCTTAGGACTTGTACAAATGAGTTCATTACCGTGGAGAGTTGTAATTGGCCGCTTAGGAAGGATTGGTCATGGAGAATTGAAAGGTAAAATTGTGCTTTGATTGTTAAATACTTCAACTTCTGTTTTGTGTTAATTAATACACTGTCAGGACACATCTGGGTATATGTTCTGAGTAAAATGCAGACGTTATAAAAACTAGTTTTTTGTTGTTTTCAAAGAGGAATCACATATGTCTAGGTCACAAATGGCCTAATTCCAATTTTAAAAGGACATTTTATATTTTGACTATACCACCAGTGTTATTACTACTATTCTTATTTATTGTCTTCTATTTTTTCCTCTTTCTGCTTATTATTCAGCTCATCCCCTGTTTAGCAAATACTAATTGATGTTGACATACATTAAAGTTAGGTAGATAAAGGATGTTGAGTAACATCAGCAATATATTTGGCTTGATGATGACTCCTATTGGAGGAATTCACTAGTTTTAAAACCATTATGTTTTAACTTTGGTTCTAGAGGGCGTTAACAATGCTGTTACTTTGGATATTGTTTTTTTTGTTTTTTTTTTTGTTTGTTTGTTTTTTTGTTTTACTATTGATACCCACAGATTGGAGCAGTTTGCTGAGTCGTCGAAACTTGCAGTCTCTAAGTAAAAGGCTCAAAGACATGTGTAGAATGTGTGGTATATCTGCTGCAGACTCTCCCAGCATTCTCAGTGCTTGCTTGGTAGCAATGGAACCCCAAGGCTCTTTTGTTATTATGCCAGGTTAGCTATCCTTAGTTTATATCAGATTTAATTTTTCATGTGCTTGTGTTTCTAGTATTATGTAAAATTGATTCTTTTATTGAAAGAAAAAATAAATTATCTTTATTTCCAGATTCTGTGTCAACTGGTTCTGTGTTTGGAAGAAGCACCACTCTAAATATGCAGACATCTCAGATGCTAAATACCCCACAGGATACATCATGTACTCATATACTTGTATTCCCTACTTCTGCTTCTGTGCAAGTAGCTTCAGCTACTTATACCACTGAAAATTTGGACTTAGCCTTTAATCCCAACAATGGTAGGTGAATTGTTCTTTAAAGGTTTGCAAATATAAAATAAGTCTTGGATGATTGTGGCTGATTTTAGGCTGACGAGTGCCTCCCCAAACCTATCCTTGTCTGGTAAATGTTTCTGAAACCTATCAATGTTAACCTTATATGACCAAAAAAGACTTTGCGTATGTGATTAAGTTAAAGATCTTGAGATGGAGAGGTTATCCTGGGTTATGCAGGTGGGCACTAAATGCAATCACATGTATCCTTATAAGAGGGAAGCAAAGGGAAATTTGATGATGCCCAAAAGAGGAGAAGGTCATGTGATGGAAATGGAGGGAAGGAAAGTCACAGAGAAATAATCCTGTGCTGCTGACTTTGAAGATGGAGGAAGGGGCCCTGAGCCAAGGAACGCAAGGAGTGTAGTTCTAGATGCTGGAAAAGAGAAGAAAACGGATTTCCCCTGGAGCCTCCAGAAAGAGCATAGGCCTCCTGGTACCTGATGTTGACCTCTAATGACCAGTACTTTGATTTCAGCCCAGTAAAACTGATTTTGGACTTTTGGACCCCAGAACTGTAAGAGAATGAAGGCATGTTGCTTTGAGTCAACAAGTTTGTGGTAATTGGTTAAAAATGCAATAGGAAACTAATACAACCATTCTTCTACCTTATTGCTATTGGAACTAGTGCTGTGAATTATCTCATAAATATTTACTTATTTTAAAAGGCAACATTGATCATAAAATGCACAAGTTTTTGCCTGTGCTGCTCGCTACCTGTACATAAACCATAGACTTTGCAGCACATTTTATATTCCTTTCTAAATTGATTTGCCAAAATAATTTATATAAACTGCCATAGTAGGGAATAACTCTTATAGATAAACTTACAGATTACATTTTAGTAGAAGAGAAAATAAATGATATTCCATTGTTGCTCTGAGGTACCTTAGAAAATGGCACATCTCTAAAGTCACAAGGGGCACCTGGGTGCCTCAGTCGTTTGAGCGTCCCACTCTTGATTTCTGCTCAGGTCATGATCTCAGGGTCCTGGGATCAAGCCCCATGTCAGGCTCTTTGCTCAGCATGGAGTCTGCTTGAGTTTCTATCCCTCTGCCGCCCGCCCCCCCCAAATAAATAAATCTTAAAAAAAAAAAAAAAGAAACAAAATCACAAGTAAGGAGTATTTAATATTTTCTTCCTTCAGTGCGTTATACAATAACTTGAATGTATTTTATATACTAATAAAGAATTAGAGTATTAATTGTGCATAGTCCATTTTAAACACATTTTCATTTCCAGCATACTGTGTTTGTTTTGTATTAGTTTTCTGTTGCTGCTGTAGCAAATTGACACATGCTTAGTAGCTTTAAACAACACACATTTATTATCTTACAGTTCTGGAGATCAAAAGTTTAAATCAGTCTTAACTGGGCTGAAGTCAGTGTGTCTGCAGAGTTGGTTCTTTCTGGAAGCTCTAAGGGAGAATCTGTTCCTTTGCCTTTGCCAGCTTCTAGAGCTCGCCTGCACCTCTTGCTCATGGCCCCTTCTTCCATTTTCAGCAGCATCAGTGTAGCATCATCACATCTCCATCACTGACTCTAACCCTACTGCCTCCCTCTTATTAGGACCCCTGTGATTACATTGGACCCACCTGGATAATCCAGAATAATCTCCCCATCTCAAGATCCTTAGCTTGATCACATCTGCAAAGTTCTTTATGGTAACATATTCACACATTCCTGGGATTAGGATGTGGACATCTTGGGGGAGGGCATTATTCACACTACCACATGCTTGTTTATAATGTATAATTGTTTATATGGCTCGTAAAACAATACTTGGCACATGGTAGACATTCAATAGATGTTAGTTAAATTAACCCATTTTGGTTAAAATTCATTAATTTATTTTAACCCTCTCCTGAAAATGACCGCGGGATGTGAAAAATGGAGGATTTATTTATTTTTCTTTCTTCTGTATAGATGGAGCAGATGGAATGGGTATCTTTGATTTATTAGACACAGGAGATGATCTTGACCCTGATATTATTAATATTCTTCCTGCCTCTCCAACGGGGTCTCCTGTACATTCTCCAGGATCTCATTACCCCCATGGAGGTGATGCTGGCAAGGTAACCGTGTTATAAAAGCTTAATCTAAATGTCATTCATTAACTTATTAATGGATTGATATATGAAATAAAACATTTTTTCCTGGGAAATTAACAAGAAGTGAGATTAATAGTACATTCTTGCACCCTGTCTTACAGATGTTACAACTTTGAATTGTGAATTATAAAAAGAATCTCTAAGGGTCTGCTGTCCCTGACTTCATGTTTTTCTAGACTACTTGGCTTTAGTCCTTTTGTAGTTTTCCTGCCTTTTTACCATTGCTTCTAATCAGGTATAGGATCAGATTATCTGAGAATTAGTATATGCTCTAAGAGATGCCACTCAATCAGGGCTTCCCTCTGTCTTAATTTTTAGCATTTGGGAAGCAGGCTGTATTGTCCTTCTATTTGAACTCAAAACTAATTGGGCTTCATTTGAATAACATCTTTATTTGAGTGAAATTATATATAGTGGTTATTTGATTGTTATAGTATGCATATGTTTAGAATCTGCCCTTTTAAAAAAAGGATCTTGGGGTGCCTGGGTAGCTCAGCTGGTTAAGCGTCTGCCTTCGGCTCAGGTCATGATCCCAGGGATCCCAGGGTCCTGGGATCAAGCCCCACATCGGGCTCCCTGCTCCGTGGGAAGCCTATTTCTCCCTCTCCCACTCCCCCTGCTTGTGTTCCCTCTCTCGCTGTGTCTCTCTCTATCAAATAAATAAAATCTTTTTAAAAAATAAAATAAGGATCTTTCGGGACGCCTGCGTGGCTCAGTTAAGCGCCTGCCTTTGGCTCAGGTCATGATCCCAGAGTCCTGGGATCGAGTCATGCATCTGTCTCCTTGCTCAGCAGGGAGCCCGCTTCTCCCTCTTCCTGCTGCTCTCCCTGCTTCTGCGCGCTCGCTCTCTCTCTGACAAGTAAATGGATAAAATCTTAAAGAATAAAATAAGGATCTTTCTCCGGTTTTACCTTACCTCTTTCCTTTTTTTTTTTTTTAAACTGGAAAGAAGTGATTATTAGGGTGCCTGGCTGGCTCAGTTGGTAAAGTATGCAACTCTTGATTTCGGGGTTTTAAGTTCGAGCCCCACGTTGGGTGTAGAGATTACATAAAAATAAAAAAAAAACCTTGAAAAAAAAGTGAGATTATTGAAAAAATATATATGTATATAGAAAAGCACCAGTAATCTCACCACTTTAATAAAATCGTTTCTACTTTTAGCAGATTACCTTCCTTTCACATGTATTTATATTGCAGCTTTCAATACATATAAATAAGTATAATCACCTTTTAACATCATTGTTTTCTCGTAATTTGTTATATCATTCCCAAAATGTTGGACATTTAAGTATTTTATTTTTTTCTGTTACAGACAGTGTTGCAATGAACATTTCCATGCATATCATTTTTCTTCTTTTTATCTATTTCCTTAACATAAATACCAAGAAATACATGGACTAAATCTGAAGGATATGAGCATCACTTAATAGTTGTCCCTTCCTCTTGCCATTAATGCTTTCCAAAAAACTAATAACTGCATTTTATAGTGTTAGATGAACAAAGCTAAATTTAATTTACCTTTTGGATTGAGATGTGGTGGTCAGGAATTAGTTGAGGGAGTATTAGGAAGTAAGTTAGAAATTTCATTGAACATTTTGTATTTTTCAATTGGCTGGAAAGGTTTATACACACATTCACTGAACATGGGCTCGGCATAATAATACAAACTTAAACAGTTGGTATATTAATTTCTTCATATAACTCTTAAAACTCATTCTTTAAATTATGATCTTACTAAGTACATAGCAACTGATTTTTTTCAATATCCTTTAGTATTTTTTTAAATTGGTATCATAAGATAGACTGATTGCCATAAACCATTCTGTATATCTAGTGCCAAGGTATATCAAATGAACTAACACACTTCTAATTTTCTCTATTTAAGGGTCAGGGTACTGATCGGCTACTTTCAACAGAATCTCATGATGAAGTAACTAATATTCTTCAGCAACCATTGGCCCTTGGTTACTTTGTATCAACTGCCAAAGCGGGTCCGTTACCTGACTGGTTCTGGTCAGCATGTCCTCAAGCACAATATCAGTGTCCCCTTTTTCTTAAGGTATTTCCATTTCTATGCCAGTTCCTAAATAATGCTAATTGATGGCTTAATTCCTAAGAAATAGAAGTGTCTAAGGTCTTATTAAATGCATTTTGAAATATGACAAGATCACAAGGAAGTTACCTAATTATGAAACAGCTCTACTTTCTAAATTGAAACTTAAGTTTGAACTTTTAATTAATCTTAAGTCATATTTCTGGGACCCTTGCTCTTATTATTTGCAGCTGCACATACGGAAGTTTAAATCTGGGTGAACCTTATATTACTTTTAATCTAACCTTTTCATTTTCTAGGTGAGCATATTAAAGTTCAGGAAAACTCATTTGTCCAAAGTCATAAATTGGTAGTAGACCCAGGACTACAGTCTGGATCCTTTCATGATTATACTGTTACTCTTTCAATTACATCATACTGCTATTATGCCATAATATTTTGGGGATTAAAGGATTCATAGTTTTGTTAAGAATATTTGCTATTTAGGTCCATTTACTACCTCCTTAAAAATTTTTTTCTAGCTTTGTGTAAATTGCTGTGTTAGACTATTAAGTGGTTTTCAAGTGCTAAGATTCTCAGACCCATAGTGACTTATTTATCCAAACAAGTTCATTAGCAAGTGACATAACGAGGTTGAGATACATTATAAAATGGTAAAATGAGATGTGAAAGCCCTATCCAGAGTTTGTTACTGCTGTTGCTTACTACTATTCCAAAATAGGAAATTCAGATCTGATTCATTTATTCTTACATACACGCACCAGAAGTTGCCTATTTTTTTCCAGAAGTCATGCTAACCTCACTTCTTGCCAGTTGTTTTTTACATGTAGGATAAAAGTTGGATACTGTGCTTTAGTTTTGGGGGGTTATAGTTTAGTGGGTACCTGCACCAATAGGCTTGTCCTCTCTTAAGCCTGTTGCTATTAAATCTTGATACCCTTGGCCCACATACCATTGAGTCAGTGACATTTGAGACTAAGCATTGAACTTCAGTAGCACATTCATAAAGAATACAACAACTGTTGATCTGAATTGACTATTGATGCAATAATATATTTAGGGAGTGTCAGTCAAGGTAATGTTTTATATGCCTTTTCTTCCCCTTCCAATATATGTACAGTGGTCTATACAGATCTCATTACAAGAACATATTCCCAGTGTGTTTCGGCAAAATAGTAGTTGTCGGTGTTTCTTCAAAACAAAGGGTTCTTTGGTCCTTTGGGAAATGTTGCACATGCTTTCTGCCCCCCTTTTCTTGTTATAATACATGTATGCACATTAAAGTTTCTGGAAAAACAGCAGTAAATAACATTGTATACCTACTATTTCCCAGTCTTACTTTAATACACCAGAAAGCGATTGTGTAACACCAATGAATAGTTCATGACCTTAGTGTTTCACGGAACATTTTTTTAGGAAACACCACTTTACAAAAAGTCCAAGGGACTATCCAGATTCTTTTCTACTCAATATTTATTTGCAGAGAGGATAGTGTAAAGTGGGCATTCACCCTCAGATACAGTGTAACAAGATTAGGACTTCTGGTCTGAATTACCAGGTAAGGCATAATTTACCATAATTTTGTTCACCTTTTGTTTTCATACATTCCATTTTATTTCCTATACCATGGGCAATAAAACCACCTGATGTGTTTCTCTTTACTTGGAAAAATAATAAATTGTTACCTAGATGATTAAAAAATCTTTTTATCATAGAAATTAAATGGTAATATCTGGTACTGACTATATTCATCTAATTTGTAGTGATATGCCATATGAGACTTTTGTTTATAACTTATAAATCAAGAGTTTATGGGCAGTTAAAAAAACACATATCTTTGGTTATATTCTTGAATATATAACACAAGAGTTTATATATATATATTACAGTTGTAGAGAAGAGATGACCTAAATATAAAATAGTATCTTTTACAGTATACAGAATGAGATCTGCTAAGAGTTTCTCCATCTCTCATAGTTTTTTTTGAACACTTTACATATATTGACGCAATAAACAAAAAATTATTCACTTTAATTGAAATTCCTTTCTTCCACTCTTCATTGTCTTACCGAAATGGGTGTGACAGTTGTCACCAAGCCTCCATTATGAAATTGCATGGGCAAAGAAGGCACTATGCACTGTACTAGAGTGCTCACAATTCCACCATAGGTAACTTTGTTTAAAATTTATACCTTTGTAAGCAGTATATTTGCATATACTTACTCCTCTTAACATTTTTCAGTGCTAGACCTACGTGTATGTGCATAAAGTTCTATGTAACCTGTAGACAGACTTCAGGTTTATCAGCTTAGTGCTTCTTTAAACATTTACGCAACTAGGCATGTTACACTCAGAAAATAGATGACTTTAAATGACTTTTAAAATAACTTTTCAATAACCTTTTTAAGGATTATTATGTGGTCTCAAAAGCAACAGAGCTGACGAAAATAAAGTAAGATTCAATATAAGTTATGCACTTAAAAATTCTGTAATAAATTGGTTAAACAAGGAGAACAAGCATCTTTATAGTGGTGCCCATTCATTACATAGGTCTAAAATGTATTTCATCAAGGACGAGATCTTGGGAAAATAAGGTAAAACCAACAACTTTTCCATTTGGCTGACTGATTTCCTGTTTTTTTAGGCCTCTTTGCACCTCCACGTGCCTTCAGTGCAATCTGACGAGCTGCTTCACAGTAAACACTCCCACCCACTTGACTCAAATCAGACTTCAGATGTCCTCAGGTATAACTCTTTTTACCATTAAAGGTTCTCCATTACATCTTTGAAAGAATATAATGTTGATTCTTACATATTTCTCTCATATTTGGCAATAATTAACAGTTGTGTACCCTTGGATCTCTAGATGAAGTACATCATTCAGAATGAGTGCTTTTCTTTCTAGCATGTGTAATCTACTTTTGAGAGTTCTTTTTATGAAAATTAATCTTTAATCTCTCCAAGGACTCTTTATTCTATACCTTCCACCATTTTTTAAAGTAGCTTTGAGGGGCGCCTGGGTGGCTCAGTTGGTTAAGCGTCTGCCTTTGGCTCCTCATGATCCCAGGGTCCAGGGATCCTTGCTCAGCAGGGAGTCTGCTTCTCCCTCTCCCTCTGGGGCTCCCCCTCCTTGTGCACTCTCTCTCTGTCGAATGAATAAGTAAAGTCTTCAAAAAAATAAAAAGGGGCGCCTCGGTGGGTCAGTCGTTAAGCGTCTGCCTTCGGCTCAGGTCCTGATCCCAGGATTCTGGGATCAAGCCCCGCATCGGGCTCCCTGCTCCGCGGGAAGCCTGCTTCTCCCTCTCCCACTCCCCCTGCTTGTGTTCCCTCTCTCGCTGTGTCTCTCTCTGTCAAATAAATAAATAAAATCTTTAAAAATTAAAATAAAAAATAAAGTAGCTTTGAATCTTAGATGCTATAATTGGGAACTGTTTCCAAAATCTACAGTGAAAGTAAATACATGACTTACACTTTCCAGGTTTGTTTTGGAACAGTACAATGCACTCTCCTGGCTAACCTGTGACCCTGCAATCCAGGACAGACGCTCATGTCTCCCAATTCATTTTGTGGTGCTGAATCAGTTATATAACTTTATCATGAATATGCTGTGATCTTCATTCGATGGAACTGTGCAAGAAAAGAACAAGGAAAAAAGATATTTCGCTGCAAGATTAAGTTACAGTTATCTTCTCAGTGAAAGTCATCTGTGATGGGGTCTAATTCTTATTACTTCAACAAATATTGTTTTGACTTGGGGGGAGGGGCTATAACCCTGCTATTTTTCATTGACTATACTGAACTCTTTAGGATGATGACTGATTATACAAAACGTATTATAACATTTTCGTAGCAAAATTAACCTTTTTTTTCCAGTCACAGTATTTGTGAAAAGTAATGAGCCATAGTACCCAGTCATATTAAATGAATATTAAAAGCATGGAGAGGAAACATGAGGAACAATGAATTTCAACATACGGCTTCAGAACATCAAGATGTTCTTATATTGGATTATAGTATCTAGTATTCAAAAATGCCTGCATCTCTTATTTATTGTAAGTTTTTAAATGTATAAATTGTCTTATATTTCTTAACCTCTTTTATAAAAATTTTCCTAGAAGGTTTATACTGCCTTCTTGCTTTAAAGCAATTGGTCTAAAATATATGTAATCGTCTTAATTAAAAAGTTGCAGTAGGGTTGCTTTTAGAGTATTATTTTTTTGTAAGGGGGTGGGTGGGACAGTAAATTTGTATTGTCTCGATGTACAGTTTAATGGGGATAGAGGGAGAATAATGTCCATACCATTGTGTGTGGAGGATTTACAGCTAAGCTGTAGTTGCAGAGTACATGTACAGTAATGAAGTTCACTGTGTTTATAAATTGAAAAGGTACTGGGTCTTACAGCATTTTATATATCACACCTTTACAGAATAACATGATGGCAATATACAAGTGATATTGTTGGGTGGTTTAACTTAGAATAAAATGAGAATTCTTCAGTTATATTTTGTACTATGGTTTAGGGCTATGACTAATATTTCAGGCCATTTCCAGTGAAAGAAACTTAGTTTTACAAGAAAAACATTTGCTACTGAATGCTTAAACTAATTTTGGTGTTTAATGTTACATGCTTAAATGTTTTTGGTTTTGGTTTGTTTTTTTTTTTTTTCCAGTTTTGACAGTGGCACATCTAGGCATGGGAATATTATTAATTATGAAAATTATCTTCAGGATCTGCTATAAGGTTGAAATTTAGCCCAGCTCTAGGCATTTTACAAATTATTTTAAGAACAGTCACTCTGATTGTTTGACTTTTTTTGTTTTTTAAATTAAAGATTGGGAATGTGTGTGAGAGTATGCATATGTATGGGTGTGTGTGTGCAATCAAACTGTGGTGTAAATAGATTCTCAGTGAATTCTGGTATTCATACTCTATTCCACTAGTTAAAAAACCATTTTCTAAACTTAACCTGTTTCCTTTTGCCTTTTTTATTTATTTAATTTTCTTGGTTTGGAGATGGCAGTCCCAAACACCAGAGTCTGTACTTTTCTATTACACAGCTCAGATTAAGGCAGGGCATATGCCAAGGAGGTTCTCACCTCCCTAAAGAAGGGACTTGAATTTTAGGGACTTTAATTCACCCCTTCCTTCAATACAGCTTTCCCCCTTCTTGTTTGCACATGCCAAGAGAAATGCTTTTATGCAGGCTTTACCCCCTTAAAATGTTGTTTCTACAGTGCTGCTCACAGGAGAGTCCAAGTTAGCCTCCTACCTATGTTGCTGACTTGAATTCACAGTCACCAAGTCTACCTATCTTTCTTGGAAGCAGTCTAGCAAAATTCGGAATTTGTACATTCACTAATTCTCCACAAAGACAAAATCAGTTGTATTTACAAAACTGTAATTCGGTATGTTTTGTTTTGTTTTTACTGGAACTTGTTTTGTAAATACTGTATGCTTAGCTTAAATATCACTTTCTTATAAACACTTAAAACTTCAAATTGTGTATATTAAAACATTAGCAAGTCTTGTTTTTTCTATGAAGAACACAACTGGTGACAAAGGTTTTCAATCACTTCTTCAAAATTACAATGCAATTCCAGTGGTCAGCATTTTTGAAATTAAAATTTAAAGATCACATCTCTGCATTCATTTTTAAATTATGCTAGCACACTACAGATTATGTTGGCATGTTTTGTTCTGTACTTAAAAAAAAAAACTTGTCTGAGATTTGAGGGAAAAGATGCTTATTTGGAATTTCTATAAAAAGTATCCTTTTAAAAATATACTTAGCTCAGTAGTGACTTCTAAAAATAAAAACTATATTCTCAGTTGTTTAATATCACTAGCTTATAGTAACCACACCTCAGTTTTGAAAATAGATTTTTAAAAAATTATTCCCTGACAGTTTCTTTTATATGGAGCCATAAGGAAGGAACGCAGTATACAATTCCTTTTTATCTGGGAATCAGGGAGTAGTTCCCAAATATACAGGATTTACTAAGATTTTTTTTTTCTTCCCTTCACATATAAATTCACACTTAAATAGAAAATTACTAAATAGCCATTAGAAAAGGTCAGGAGACTTATTTCAGAAAAAAAAAATTAACCTTTTGTGCAGGATGATGGATCTGACTTACTAATGTACTGTCACAGACAAGTATGGGTAGTATTTTTTTGTTTGTTTAAATGGTAAGCAAAATAATATATTCTTTATACCAGTTGATCACCAACACCTTGACTTCTTTGTTACAGTGCTAATGTCTGTTTTTTTGTGCAGTTATCCATTACCAAGCAGGGTGGAAGTTCAGTATTTTGGCTTTTAAAAAGATTAGTTACATAATGTCTGCTTCCAACCAGTGAGAAACATCTAGCCATACTTTCTTATGCAAGCCATTCAGTTATCAGGACTGTGAATTAACACTGTATGAATAAATTTCTGTACACCTTATTGTTTGGCCAGAAGGCCACCAAGTGTACTTATATGTAATCCTTAAATTTTAAAGTAGCTGTAATTTTTAAATCTTTCTAAACTTTTCTTAAACCACTAAAATTAAGCTCTTACTACTTAGTCAACTATCCTCAGCTGTATTCGTACTCAATTGTCAGTATGGCACAGATTACTGTATGAAAATATTCTCCTTTCGTCTTCATATTTACCTTCTGAGGTAATTTTTTAACTTAATGTGTTACTACAAAGATTTGCAGATCTTTAATCAAGCACTATGTTAATACTGTAATATCAAAATACTATGTTGCATTATTTAAAATGTTCAAATTGAATACATTAAAAGGAAGTTTTTAAATGCTGTCGCATCATATAATTTGCTATTCATCCACTATGGCATCGCATATCAGTCTATTAATACATTTAATGTTGCATGAGTAATGTTTTGGTCTGGGTTTCCTCTTAAGATTTTAGTTTGTCTAAATTAAGGAAGAATGTTTTTGACATACATTTTTTTTTTTTTTGGCCCCGCTCTCCCCCTCCCCCACTCTCCCCCAATCCCCCAATCAGCTGGAAATCTTAACCTTCTGATTTTTCTTGGTGTTTTAATGGGCCCAGAACTGTGGTTTAAATTTTCATATGTGTTTTCTCTTTTGTGGAGTATTAATTAAAAAACTGGATTTGGGACCTAAAATACTCCTCAGGTTGATGTATTCATGAAGTTTTAAAATAGCTTTAGTTTTCAAAGTAACTGGATTTGTGGACCTTAAAGTTACTGAGTTTAAACTACAAATTGTAACGTCATTACTGGACATGTCAGCATCAACTCTCTCAAAATAGCTTGGTCACTTTATGAAGGGGCGTTTTAAAGTTGTTGTTTAGCAGTGACATTTAATATGGTCCAATTGCTTTTTTTTTTAATGTGACAAAAAAAGAATAAGGAACAAACACTATTGCTGCCGAATGCCATAACACTGAGTTGTACAAATTGTGATTGAGGAAATGAAAAGGTTTATACTTTTTAAAAAAAAAAAAAACTTCAAATGGAATAAATTATTCATGAAGCCTTCATTGTGGTGTCTCATTCTGTTCAAAATATTTCCATCTTAAACTTATGTAAAAATTAGTAGTATTTTTTTTTCACCGTAAGTGGAAAGGGGTAACCTAAAAATTAATTGATGGGACTTTTAATTTCTCCATCTGTGGTATTTTATTTAAAAAAAGATTTTAACTATATCAGTGATTAATATACAGGAAAATTATATATGTATGTACATACTCCTGTTAGGCTGATCAGTTTGGTATCCATTTTCTAGTCTAAACAAGCTACTTTCAAATATTTAAAGCTTAGTTCAGTCCTATTTTTTTGATCACATAAATGTTTTTGAAACATAATAAAGGGGTTCAGATATGAACAATCCATTAAAAATATTTTGTATAAGCACCCATTTTAAATATTTTTGTACAAACTTAAGCTGAGTAAGGACAAACCCCAAAATTGTTGTGTTCATTTTGAAATAGTTTCTGCCAACAAAAATTTTAAAATAAGCCTTTTAAAGGAGATATATGTAGTTGGAACTTGTACTCTATTAAGTTATTCTTTGTCTCACAGTTTATATTTTCTGTGATTTTTTTTTTTTCTTGGTAGCTTAAAAACCCTTTATGGGTGCTTCTTGCTCTAAATATTGAAAGTCTTACATGGTCTGTCCCCTACCTTCTTTTCCACAGGTCTCAGAATGGGCTTCTTTCCTGTGTTTTCCTCCCAGTCTCTTAGGCATATGAGTTCTTTGAAAGCCCTATGGTTATTTTTGCCTTAAGGCTTCCCCCACTTTCCACATACACACCCTTGCTTCATACTAGGTCCCCAAGTTATATTCCTTTATTGTAATATTCTATATGGAGCCTTCATAAGTGTTTTTCACAGTTTGTATATGTCTCCTACCAAACAACCCTATGAAGGCAGAAATTGGGTCTATTTTGCTTACTACTGCATCTAGAATCCAACACAACATGTAGCACATTAGTAAGGCACTGCAATACTTGAATAGACTTCTTGTGATAAGTACCTCAAACTACAGTACTTAGTTGAAGCGTGAGTTTTGCAAATAATTTAAATGAACTTGTACAATTCTAATTAGGACTTTTCACATTAGTGGAAATAGTTTAGGATCACTAGGTTAGGATTCTTGTGCTCTTAGGTTTGCTACCTTCTAACTGGTGACTACAGAGAAAACATTGGAACCTCCTGAGATGTCAATTTGTTCATTTGTACGTGAACTCCATAGTAACCATACCTTCCTAACATTAGCTTTGGGAACCTCAAAGGATTACAAAAATTTAGAAATTTGTAAAATACAAATGTGAGGGATGATTAATACCTATGTTAGAGGTCTCTAGAAGAGTCAAATCCAGAATAAGGCTTGCCAGAGGGAAAAAAATGCTTGAAGGCTACAAAGGACTTTTATTTTTATTTATTTTTTTAAAGATTTTATTTCTTTATTTGACAGAGAGAGACACAGCGAGAGACGGAACACAAGCAGCAGGAGTGGGAGAGGGAGAGCAGGCTTCCCGCAGAGCAGGGAGCCCGATGTGGGGCTCAATCCCAGGACCCCGGGATCATGACCCGAGCCAAAGGTAGACGCTCAACCAGCTGAGCCACCCAGGCGCCCCTACAACAGGACTTTTAAAATATGCTCTGGGCGCCTGGGTGGCTCAGTTGGTTGTCTGCCTTCAGCTCAGGTCATGATCTTGGGGTCCTGGAACCAAGTCCTGTGTCGGGCTCTCTGCTCAGTGGGGAGCCTCCTTCTCCCTCTCACTCTCCCTCTAAGTCTCCCTCTCTCTCAAAATCTTAAAATATGCTTCTAGCAAGATCAAGGATGGAAAAAATGCAAAGAATCAAGTATTTAATACTTATCTTTATCTCCTTTTTTTTTTTAAAGATTTATTTATTTGAGAGAGAGCGAGCACATGAGAGGGGGGAGGGGCGGAGAGAGAAGCAGACTCTCCGCTGAGCAGGGAGCCCGATGCGGGACTCGATCCAGGGACTCCTGGATCATGACCTGAGCCGAAGGCAGTC